AGGGCGAGGGAGAGGGAGAGGGAGCACGAGTGCGGGATATGCCTCGAGGAGGTTCGATCCGACGGCTGTGATCGCGTCGCGATTCCCAGCTGCGCTCACTCCATGTGCTCCCGATGCTTTAAGGACTGGTGAGTCTCAACCCAATAAATGAGGCGCTTCAAAAATCTATTCCGCCTGCTCTTCCTCCTGCTCCTCCTCCCATTCCTCCGTTCACCCCCCACTGGAGCGATTCCCAGCTGCGCTCACTCCATGTGCTCCCAATGCTTTAAGGACTGGTGAGTCGTGTTTTGAGTTTACTCAAACCGACCCCTTCTCTCCCATCCTCCTCTTTTTCATCTCACCCAACCCCCTTCCTTACAAACAGTCCTCATTCCGCCCCTCTCCCCCTCCTCAGTATCTCAACACATAACATTCCCCACTACACTTCACTCCACCCCGCCTCACCCCATCCAACCCCATTCAACCCCATCCCACTCTCTCATCCCCAGGAGCTCTCGCTCTCGCTCCTGCCCGTTCTGCTGGGACGACTTGGGGAAAGTGCAAGAGAGCGACCTGTGGGTGATGGTGGGGGCAGAGGAGGCAAAAATCACCTCTTACAACCCCTTTCTCACCGCGCTCAACCCCATCCCACTCCCTCCCCAGGAGCTCTCGCTCTCGCTCCTGCCCGTTCTGCCAGAATGACTTGGGGAAAGTGCAAGAGAGCGACCTGTGGGTGATGGTGGGGGCAGAGGAGGCAACTCACAAGCAAAACATCAAACATCTCATACAACCCTTTCTCACCGCACTCAACCCCATCCCACTCCCTCCCCAGGAGCTCTCGCTCTCGCTCCTGCCCGTTCTGCCGGGACGACTTGGGGAAAGTGCAAGAGAGCGACCTGTGGGTGATGGTGGGGGCAGAGGAGGCAAAAATCACCTCTTACAACCCCTTTCTCACCGCGCTCAACCCCATCCCACTCCCTCCCCAGGAGCTCTCGCTCTCGCTCCTGCCCGTTCTGCCAGAATGACTTGGGGAAAGTGCAAGAGAGCGACCTGTGGGTGATGGTGGGGGCAGAGGAGGCAACTCACAAGCAAAACATCAAACATCTCATACAACCCTTTCTCACCGCACTCAACCCCATCCCACTCCCTCCCCAGGAGCTCTCGCTCTCGCTCCTGCCCGTTCTGCCGGGAAGACTTGGGGAAAGTGCAAGAGAGCGACCTGTGGGTGATGGTGGGGGCAGAGGAGGCAAAAATCACCTCTTACAACCCCTTTCTCACCGCGCTCAACCCCATCCCACTCCCTCCCCAGGAGCTCTCGCTCTCGCTCCTGCCCGTTCTGCCAGAATGACTTGGGGAAAGTGCAAGAGAGCGACCTGTGGGTGATGGTGGGGGCAGAGGAGGCAACTCACAAGCAAAACATCAAACATCTCATACAACCCTTTCTCACCGCACTCAACCCCATCCCACTCCCTCCCCAGGAGCTCTCGCTCTCGCTCCTGCCCGTTCTGCCGGGACGACTTGGGGGAAGTGCAAGAGAGCGACCTGTGGGTGATGGTGGGAGCAGAGGAGGCGGAGGATATGAGAAAGATCACTCGAGACAACCTTCGACGAATCTTCCTATTCGTGCATCGGTTACCAGTTCTGGTTACCAGCGACGCGCTGCTGCCTCCTTTGGACCTCGACTACTACTCTCTTCTGTAACAACCCTGGGCTCATGCTGTGTAAATAGGGCCTTGATTTCAAGCCTTTTGAGCCAGGGAAACCGGGGGTTTCTGCCGCTGCCGCTGCCGCTCCCACTGCTGCTACTCTCTCTACTACCCGCTTCTGCTGCTGCTGCTGCAGCGCCACTGCAGCCGCTGCTGAAGTGTGGGGCTCTCGCAACATCAGGGAAGGTCTTGGTGGGAGCCGAGGCACACCACTAATCGGCAGTTACAGCTGGAAGGATTGTCTCGAACAGAAGGAGGGAAAGAGATGGTCAGAGAAAGAGATCACATCATCGGGCTTCATGGGCCTTATATCCCACCCTTGTACAGTATCTCTCTTCCGTGCTTATGGCAGCCAGCTACGAGCACTAGCTACTCACTGGTACTGATCGCAAGGGGCGATGGTAGGTATTATGTTCTGGAAAGTGGAGTGTTGCTTGGGCAATATGCCTTGAGAAAGCGGCACTTCTAGGTGGCAGGAGAGCGTGTGCTGCTATGTTGGCAGCTAGAGTGATCAGGTTCCTGAATAGTATGTCATACGGTAGGTAGTATGCCTCCCGAGGTGGGAGGTGGTGGATGGGGCCTGTTCTTGGCCGGGGAATCTGAGATAGGGGAAATTACCCCATTTTATTTGTACAGTCAGTCGAACAACTCTCTTTTTTATTCCAACATTTTGCCTACCATTCTTCTCACACCAGAACCTTATTTGGCATGAGTATAAACTTCCATCGCCTATTATTGTATTCCATTAGCCCTGGTCCTGGCACGTCAGTAAAGTCTTAGCGCCTCCAGCATCTTAACCTCCTACCACTCAACCTCTCCTCAATCTACGTGGCATACAACCTTTCACTGCATACAGTTTGCTCCGTCCTCTACTCGATAGTCACCGTTCGATGCGTGAGATGGAGATACTGGAAACTGCACATCCAATCACGTCTCCAGATTCACGGGCTCCAGCAAGCTACGGTCCAATTTGTGCGAAACAATTTATTGGGATTGGGTTTTCTGTCACTCCCTCCCCTCCCATCCCCCCCCTCCAGAACCAGCTCATGCCGAGCACACGCAAGCAGGGGACTCGTTACAGCTTGGTTCAACGCGGCTCCGCTAGGTGAAGAAGGCATAAATATGGGTCTAGTACGGTTCGTAGGTGAAAAAGCGCCTACTCAGGAAAGCCAACTTGCACTACAGATCTCTGTCGCAACTTCGTGAGTGTCTTATGGCCTCCATACACGCTCTAGGCAGGATTCCATCTTCAATGTCCTTGCGAGTCGGCATTCACAGGGACTGAAATCCCTTGAAAAAACTCAGGATCTCATTTCACCCAGCATATGTGAAATTTCTGCATTCCTGGTGACACACGTGTTTTCCCCCATTTCCAGCTCTTCCCCATGGCTTTCTTTGGTTCATATCACGCGAGCAACGCGATTTCTGGAACCATCAACCATACCAAAGCTGTTTCACACGTTTCGAACTGCTCATTGTCGCTGAGCACCAACGTAAGAAACATGAACACGTTCATTTCGAAGCCAAAGGCGCCGCGATTCACGGAAGGTCGACAGTTCGTACTAGCGTCCACGCGGCGAAGTCATGGATATCCACTCGTTCAGTCAGAGGAATATCAAGGTCGATGCTGTTATGCGTCGCGTGATGGCGTGACAGCAGCGACTGTGACTGTAGAAGGTGGTTTTGCGACGGCCACGGAAGCGACAACCGCCGTTGAGGAGGAGTTATTCGACTGGGACAAAGCCTGGTACCCAGTAGGTACGTGAATGCTATATTTTTAAAATGACGGTCATAAAAGCAATCTTGCACGAAAAGAACCGTCACGTGTATCATCAGGAAAAGCGCCTGAGATAAACTAAAAGTGACACCCTGAGAAGTGGAGGGCCTGCAAACATAGGTTTGGGGACGTGCTTTGCAGCGTCACACTGAACATGTTCGAGCGTCAGAGTAACAATTTCGCTGCACGGAGCAACGTGATTTTTTCGTCTCGCATGTGCGCAGCAAAAAAGCGAAGTTTGCCTTGTGATTTTCCACGTTTCCTTGACGCTTGGAAGAAAACAATTTTCGGCGATATCCTTTTCCGAATTGCGAAGTCGTGGAAGTTTTAGCTCAGAAACTCATCATCATCAGGGAAGCTCAGTATTAGTACATGACATTGAAACATCACCTCATTCGTTCCTTGTATCCTAGATTCTCCTCCCTCCCCTGTTTCCACTGTTTTCTCTCGCCCCTCCTAGCCTCCGTCGTCCCTTCCTTACTCCTCCCCACAACGCAGTTTCCCCCTTCTTTCAGAGTGCTGAATACCGCCCCCCCCCCCCCTCCCCCGCGGGTTGACCGCAATTCCTCGGAAAAGCTTCGGCGTGCACAATTCTGGATACCATCCTTTTTCCTCGGAGGTTCATCTCATTCCCCTCAATCCAATGTCTAGCACGTTTTCCTCTCCTCGCCAACCCCCTCTCCCCTCTCCCCCCACCTCCCCCCCACCACCATGCTACCTGCCAGCGCTCACCAAGACTCTGAGCAAGCGCAATCAGCGCTCATCCTCTTCCCCCCTTACCCCATTTCCTCTCTCCGCACATCATCTCATTCCCTTCCAATGTGTTAGCCACATTTTCCTCCTCGCACCCCCATTCCCCCCCTCCCCCCTTCACCACACCCACCAGCGCTCACCAAGACTCTGAACAAGCGTGTTCCCGAGCCTGTGACCATTCTCGGCCGCCCATTGGTCATCTGGTTCGATCGGGTGTCTGACCAATGGCGGGTCTTCCATGACCTCTGCCCTCACAGGTACTCGCAGTAACCATCCTCCCTCATTTGTTTCATAACATGTGTCCATTTGTTCCCTTATTGTTCTCTACTCTCTTCTGATACAGCGTTATGCCCTAGTGCTTGCAGACGTAATATTCCTAACTTCATTCTCCCCTTGTCCAGCCACGCATTCTCTCTTCTTGCCTCCCGTACTCTTGCTTCCTCTTCCTTGGCCCCCCCATCCCCTTTTCACTTCCACCATCCCCTTTTCACTTCCACCATCCCCTTTTTATTTCCACCATCCCCTTTTCATTTCCACCATCCCCTTTTCATTTCCACCATCCCCTTTTCATTTCCACCATCCCCTTTTCATTTCCACCATCCCCTTTTCATTTCCACCATCCCCTTTTCATTTCCACCATCCCCTTTTCATTTCCACCATCCCCTTTTCATTTCCACCATCCCCTTATCTCGCCTTTCTTCCTGTCTCCCAAACTCCTTAGCCTCACCTCGCTCCACCTCCTAGCTTGCCCCGTTATCAGAGCGTTGATACACGAATCGGGGCAAATGGAGTGCTTGCTCCTTCACCTCCTCCCTTGCAAACTGGACGGGTTATTCCTACCACCTCCCTCCTCCCCACTCCCAGGCTTGCTCCGCTATCAGAGGAGCGGATCCATGAGTCAGGGCAGCTGCAGTGCTCCTACCACGGACGGTCGTACTTTCAGTCACAACTGGACTTGCCCTCTTCCCTCCTCTCCTCCCTCCCCCGCCCCTTATTCCTCCCAGGCTAGCCCCATTATCAGAGGGGCGGATACACGAGTCAGGGCAGCTGCAGTGCTCCTACCACGGACGGTCATACTTTCAGTCCCACCCTGCTGCTCCCCTCCTTTACCCAACTAAGCTGCCCCCTTCCCTCCCCCACTCTCTCTCCCCTCCTCCCAGGCTAGCCCCGCTATCATAGGGGTGGATCCATGAATCAGGGCAGCTGCAGTGCTCCTACCACGGATGGACGTTCTCAGGAGAAGGCTCGTGCGGGCTCATTCCTCAGGCTCCTGCAGATGGACCAGCGGTGAGTGGGATTTTTTAGATTTCCCATCATTCTTCTGTAAGATCAGGAGAAGGCTCGTGTGGGCTCGTTCCTCAGGCTCCCACGGACGGGCCTGCAGTGAGTGGGATTCTGCTGCTTTTATTTTTTTCTAAATCCAGTCGTTCTGTAGTATTTAGAGAAGGCAACTTGTGGGCTCATTACTCGAGCTCCCACGGACCAGAGGCCCCATCGGGTGCATTTCTCAGGCTCCCATGGATGGCTTTTGAGACGTCTCAAAAGAAGCCCCATCGGGTGCATTTCTTAGGCTCCCATGGATGGGATATGTTACTCACCTGGAGTGAGGGAGGGGAGGTGAGCATGAAGGCATCATCTGGTTCTGTCCCTTCCCCTTTCCTATTGTAACCTTCCCACCCCACCCCAACCCCCTCTCACTCCCAAGTGAACGCCTCCCCTCGAGCATGTGCGCGTATGTACTCCTGTTGGGTGCATCAAGGCATCATCTGGTTCTGACCCTTCAGTTTTCCCATTGTACCCTTCCCATCCCCCAACCCCCTTTCCCACCCTCAACCCACCCTCCTCCCTCCCTCTCCCAGGTGAACGCCTCTCCTCGAGCATGTGCGCGGGTATGCCCCCGTCGGGAGCATCAAGGCATCATCTGGTTCTGGCCGGACTGCTCCCCCTCCGCTGCTGCTGCCCCACCACCCGCCTAGACCTTGCCACTTCCTTACTCCCGCCTTTTCTTGCCCTTGTGTTGTCCCTTTCGTCCTCTCCCCTTCCCTTCGCCCACCCATTCCCCTTCCCTGCTGCCCCTGCCCTTTGCCCCTGCTCCTGCCCCTTGCCTGTCAGAATGTTATCAAATGCTCTAGCCTGTAGTGGGGTGCTCTATAGCGAGTAGAACCCTTCTAGGGTTTGCTATTTGTATCCTCATTCTTGCTAGTGCAATCCCTCTTCTTTCTTTCTAATTTTGACATGCTATCAGAGCAGGTCGATCCCCTTGGATCGATCCTGTGGGTGGGTTACCACCACCTCGTTGCTTCCGCTGCAACTGCTGCTGCTACTCTCTGTGCCGCACGCCCCGTGGCGTGCGGCAGTTTTTCTTCCCGCCGTGCGCCCCGTGGCGCGCGGCGGTTTTCTGCCCGCCATGCGCCCCGAGGCGCGCGGCGGTTCTCTGCCCGCTGTGCGCCCCGAAGCGCGCGGCGGGCTACTGCCTCGTCGCTCAGCGCGTCGCCCTCGGGAGGCGCTGCGACGGGCGACGGGGACCCGCGCGCCGGCCCTGCGCCGCTGCCCCGGCCTGTCGCCGCCCGTGCCGTGCCCGTCCCGGCCCCATGCCGCTGTCCCGGCCCCACGCCGCCCGTACACCGCCCGTCCCGGCCCCGCGCAGCTGCCCCGGCCCGTCGTCGCTCGTCCCGGCCCCGCGCCGCTGTCCAGGCCCGTCGCCGCCCGTGCCCGTCCCGGCCCCATGCCGCTGTCCCGGCCCCACGCCGCCCGTACGCCGCCCGTCCCGGCCCCGCGCAGCTGCCCCGGCCCGTCGTCGCTCGTCCCGGCCCCGCGCCGCTGTCCAGGCCCGTCGCCGCCCGTGCCGTGCCCGTCCCGGCCCCATGCCGCTGTCCCGGCCCCACGCCGCCCGTACGCCGCCCGTCCCGGCCCCGCGCAGCTGCCCCGGCCCGTCGCCGCCCGTGCGCCGCCCGTCCCGGCCCCGCGCCGCTGTCCAGGCCCGTCGCCGCCCTTCCCGTCGCCTGTCGAGGCGACCCTCGGGGGGGCGGGGCGAGCGCCGCCCCCCCTTCTGCTGCCTGTCTTGGCGCCCTGGGAGGCCGCGCGTCGGTTTAACCCCCCCCCCCCCCCTCCCCCCCCCCCCCCCCCCCCCCCCCCCTCCTCCCCCGTACCCTCCCTACCCGCCATCCCGCCCTGCCTGTGTTAGGGTTTGGGGAGTGGCGAGTAGGGGGTGGCGAGTATGGGGGTGACACTTCTGCATTCCTCCCTTTGCTCCTCCTCCTCCTTTGTCTCCCACGGCTGCAGCTGTCGCTGAGGGGGGTGGATGTGTGGGAGACTGGGGTTTAGGGTTTAAGGGGGGTGCGTGGGAGTGGAGCTAGGGGGTGTAGCAATGGGTGTGTGAGAGGGGCGTTGGGCAGCTGGGGGAGGTTGAGTGGAGGCAGCACTCTTGTCGTCCGCAGCACCTGTAGTCCGGGGCGCTGTCCTGGTAGCCCAGAGAGCCTGCTGCGCCTGTCGCCCGTGGGTCCGTTGCTCATGTAGCTCTTCGTAGCCCGTGAGCCAGTTACTCCAGTAGTCCGGGGCGCTGTCCCAGTAGCCACTGTGCCAGCCGCTCCTGTAGCCCGTGTGTCTGCAGCTTCAGCCGTCGTCTCCCAACTTCTCTCCTCTCACAGTCCCTCCTCTTCCTCACTTGCCCGCTACGACTACCACTAGCTTTGCTAATAATTTTAAACTACTGCTTCTTGAACTTGTGTTCAGAATGTGTGGTGACATTGTGATCCACCCTGAGCTTATACTGCTTTGCTTGCTCTGCTGATTACACCCCACTTTGGCTATGGGGGTGTGTCAGAATGTTATCAAATGCTCTAGCCTGTAGTGGGGTGCTCTATAGCGAGTACAACCCTTCTAAGGTTTGCTATTTGTATCCTCATTCTTGTTAGTGCAATCCCTCTTCTTTCTTTCTAATTTTGACATTGCCCTCTTCCCCCTCCCAGGTGAACGCCTCCCCTCGAGCATGTGCGCGGGTGTACCCCAGTCGGGTGCATGAAGGCATCATCTGGTTCTGGCCGAACTGCTCGCCCTCCGCTGCTGCTGAAGCAGCTGCTGCCCCGCCTCCCCCATCCCTCCTTGAGTTTGGTGATCCAAGCTTTCGATACGACACGGGCATGGCAGACCTAGAATATGGGTGAGCTGCTTGGAAAGTATTCTGGGGCATTTGAGGCACCTCAAGTCCCACCTTTCGATACGACACGGGCATGGCAGACCTTGAATATGGGTGAGCTGTAAAGCAAAAGGTTGAGGTGCAGGGTTTGCGCGGTTGGGGTGTTGAGACGTCTTGAAACTCTCCCTGAGTTTGACGATCCGAGCTCCCGATACGACACAGGCATGGCAGGCCTTGAATACGGGTGAGCTGTGATGCAAAATGTTGGGGTGGGTTTGTGAGGTTGGGGTGTTGAGACGTCTCAGAAATCTCCCTGAGTTTGATTTGATGATCTGAGCTTTCGATACGATCCGGGCATGGCAGACCTGGCAAGGGCACATGTGGTGAGTTTTGAGGCGCCTTTTTTTTAGGCGCCTCAAAACACACGGGCTTGGCAGACCTTGTGATGCGCGAAGGGCACGTGTTTCTGTCTCAGGCCGCGCCCCAATCCTTTCCCCATGTCCCTATCCTTCTCGCTCCCTACCCGTAACCACTCCCCTCCCCACTTCCCATAGCTACGAGATGCTGATGGAGAATCTGCTGGACCCAGCGCATGTGCCCTTCGTGTGCTTCTGTCTCAGTCGCCCCATTCCTTTCCCCGTGTCCCTACCGCACTCCCTACCCGTCCCGACTCCCTTCTTCCTACCCACAGCTACAAATTGCTTACAAAGAATCTGCTGGACCCAGCGCATGTGCCCTCCGTGTGTGTCTCTCTCAGGCGCTCCGTATCCTCCCTTCCCCACGTCCCTACCTATGTGTTTTCACTCTCGCCCCTCTCCACAGCTACGAGATGCTGATGGAGAATCTGCTGGACCCAGCGCATGTGCCCTCCGTGTGTGTCTGTCTCAGGCGCCCCGTATCCTCCCTTCTCCACGTCCCTACCTATGTGTTTTCACTCTCGCCCCTCCCCACAGCTACGAGATGCTGATGGAGAATCTGCTGGACCCAGCGCATGTGCCCTTCGCGCATCACAAGTACCAGGTGGGGCCACTTTTGAGTCGACTCAAAACCAGGTGGGGCCACAATCCCACGTGGCAGCTTGAACCATTCACATTGTAGTTTAGGAAGTCTGACGCGCCTGCCTGTCAAGGCCCAGCGCATGTGCCCTTCGCCCATCAAAAGTACCAGGTAGGGACATAGGAGCGATAACCCATCACAAGTACATGGTTGGATATCCATTCATGTTGGGTCCATTCTTGGGCTGTACATCACCTGTCTGTCTAGATCCAGCATATCCTCCCTTCGCCTGACACATCGCAACTACCCATCCCACGATTCCAGTCTCAATCCCCAGGCCAATTATAACAAGGCGGGGGGCCACTACCGTCCATGCTGGTAACCAGCATCACCCCACGGGGCATTGAGGGAACAAACCTTTTATCCTCCTCACCACCTACAAGAGCACCTCCCACAGGGTGATCGCAACAAGGCGGGGCCACTGCCGTCCATGCTGGTAACAACCAGCGTCACCCCATGAAGCACCCATGAGACACGTTTTGTGTCTTGTTCTATGTTCCACTGTATACACTCCCACGTGCTCAGGCGGATCGTAACAAGGCGGGGCCACTACCGTCCATGGCGGTAACCAGCATCACCGCACGGGGCATCGAGGGCACCAGCTTTGTGGGCAGCGGCCTAGCTGCTGTGGTCCCTCCCTGCACGCTCATTCAGAAGCTGCTCATCGGGGGGAAAGTGGTGAGATATTCTCTTTGTTACAGACAATTCCTTTGGTTCTACATACTCGGTAGCACACACTCGTTACAACATTTCTGGGCGGCCTAGCGGCTGTGGTCTCTCCCTGCACGCTCATTCAAAACCTCTTCATCGGAGGGAAAGTGGTGAGCTCCCTTCATTATAACCACACTTCTCATTTTTAGGTACCTAGATTTTTACTTTAGCTGCTGTGGTCTGCTTCTGCACTCTCATTCAGAAGATCTTTATCGAAGGAAAAGTGGTGAGCTCACTTCGTTATAATCACAATGCCCTCATTTAGGTGCCAATGAGTTTTGCCCAACTGCTGTGGTCCCCAACTGCACGCTCATTCAGAAGCTGCTGATCGGGGGGAAAGTGGTGAGCTCCCTTTATTATATTAAGCACAATACTTTGCCTACAGGTTTTGCCTCAGCTCCTGTGGTCCCCCCTTGCACGCTCATTCAGAAGCTGCTGATCGGGGAAAATGTGGTGAGATTCATTTATAATGATCACTATTGTTATGTTTTGCCGCTTTAGATTATTTTCTCCCCTTTCCACCCCGGTTTTACCACATTCTTTCAACCGCCCCACCATCTTCCCCCTCCTTCCCTCACCACGCGCGATTCTGAGCAGGCAGAGGGGTCGGGCAAGAAGCAGCAAACAGCAATCCTATTCTTCCACTGCACTGGAACCCATCCAACCGCATTGAGTGCACTGTTGCCCTCCCTCCCTCTCCCATTGCCACCTCTGCAGCCAGAGGGGTCGGGCAAGAAGCAGCGGACGGCAATTCTCTTCTTCCACTGCATTCCCCCCCGCCTGCCAGGGCAGAGCCGCCTCATCTGGTTCTTCATAAACAACATCATCACCCCCTGGGTGCCCATGCCCCCGAGTGGTCTGTACCTTGAATCAACTTCAAACTAACCCTGCTCTCTCACTCTTCTTCCCCCTTCCCCCGTTCTCCCCCCCTGGACTCTCCACCCCGTTCTCTCGCTCTCCCCACACCGCACGTCCCTCCCCACACCGTATTCTGAGCAGCCAGAGGGGTCGGGCAAGAAGCAGCGGACGGCAATTCTCTTCTTCCACTGCATTCCCCGCCTGCCGGGGCAGAGCCGCCTCATCTGGTTCTTCATGAACAACATCATCCCCCCCTGGGTGCCCATGCCCCCGGAGTGGTTCGTGCACTTGACACGGATGAAAGTGCTAGACACCGACCACCCGTTGCTGCACCTCACGGTATGCCATTCCAGAAGACGCTATTGCGCTATTGTGCATCGTGCTCACTTGGAGTCTGAACTGGAAACGATTGCCTGCCTGGATGCCCTTCCCCCCCCCACCCCCCGAGTGGTTCGTGCACCTGACAAGGATGAAAGTGCTAGACATCGACCACCCGTTGCTGCACCTCATGGTATGCCTTTCCAACAGGATCGCTCTCTCTCTCTAATGTACTGCGTCTCTTACTTGTTTTGAGACGTCTCAAAACTATCTTATTCGTTGTGAGACGTCTCAAACATCTCTTGCTTGTTTTAAGGCATCTCAGAACGCTCTTCCTTGTTTCGAGACGTCTCAAAACTTTCCAACAAGCTCTCACTAATGCACTAAATCTCTTGCTTCTGGTGTGTAACAAGAAGCGGCTCCCTCCTCGGTGCACTTTTGAGTCGACTCAAAAGTCAACTCCTACTTCTGGTGTGTAACGGGAAACCGTGCCCTCCTGGGTGCCTCTCCCTCCTGAATGGTTCGCGCACCTGAAAGGGATGGCACAAGATTCACCCCTTGAAACCTACTCACCGTATTCCCTCTTCCATTCCCCATTGCACCCTTCCCCCGATGCAGGAGTGGGCGGCTGGAGGAGGGAGGGGCGGTGCAGGGGGTAAAGAGCTACTACACTCCCACGTCAGCCGACTCGTTCGTCTCGGCCTACCGCTCCGAACACCTCTCTGTACCCTCCCTTTCTTCCCCCACCAAACGCCTCTGTCTCTGCCTTCCCCCTTGCAGCAGGAGCAGCGGCTGGAGGAGGAGGGAGGGGCGGTCTAGGGGTAAAGAGCTACTACACTCCAACATCAGCCAACTCGTTGTCTCATCTTACAGCTCCTCGCTTCTCTCTCACCTTTCTCTCTGCCTTACTTCATTGTCTGTGCCTATAGGAGCGGCGGCTGGAGGAGGAGGGAGGGGCAGAGCAGGGGGTAAAGAGCTACTACACTCCAACATCGGCGGACTCATTTGTCTCGGCCTATCGCTCCTGGCTGCTCAGATTTGCGGGCGGCAAGGCCCGCTTTCCTGCCTACGTGAATCCGGAACTGCCTCCTGCCAAGTCGAGGCGGGAGATTCTTGACAGGTGAGAAGGCGAGTTTCGTCGGTTATGAAAAGGTCAAGTTGAGGGCAGAGGGTAGAGGCCAGAGGAAGAAGCAACTTATTTCCTAGCTGTTCATGTGCTCCTATTGCATCCCCTTGAGGAGCAATTCCACGTGCGGCTTTGCCCCGAATGCCGGCGGGTGCAATGCTGGTCTTTTTAGGCAGGCAGGGTACATGCCTGCCGCCCAACCCCCTCCCCTTCCCTCCCCCTCTCCTCTCCCCCCCCCCCCCTCCCCCCAACAGGCAGCGCTTCCACGTGCGGCTGTGCCCCGACTGCCAGCGAGTGCAGCGCTGGTCTGATCGCCTCCGCACCACCCTCTGGGCCGCCTCCCTCCTCCTCCTCACCGTCACCGCTCTTCTCCCCCTCGCCCCTATCCCCTCCCTCCCCCCCCTTTGCCAAGTTTCAGAACTCGGAGGAGATGCTCTTTTCTTCCCTCTCCCCACTCTATGCCCTCTACCCCTCTCCTCCCCTTAAACATCTCCACCCTCCCCAACACTGCAGGCAGCGCTTCCACGTGCGGCTGTGCCCCGACTGCCAGCGAGTGCAGCGCTGGTCTGACCGCCTCTGCACTGCCCTCTGGGCCGCGTCCCTCCTCCTCCTCGCCGCCACCGCCCTTCTTCCCATCGCCCCGCTTGCCATTCGGCAAGCTGCAGGCCCCATGGGTGCTGTTTTTGCAGCGGCAGCTGCGATGGTGTGTGCAGCTGCTGCCCACTGGCTGAAGGGATTCATCGAGAGGAATTATGTGTATGAGGACTTTGTTCATGCGCTTTGGTACCCTGCGAAGAAGTAAATTCACGGGTTGCAAATGTCAAGAGCACCAAGTTGGCATTTCTGAGGCGTCTCGAAAGTGGTGTGTGCAGCTGCTGCCCACTGGTTGAAGGGGTTCATTGAGAGGAATTATGTGTATGAGGACTTCGTGCATGCGCTCTGGTACCCTGCAAAGAAATCAGCTTTAATATACCCACAAGCTGCTGGCCCGACTGGCACTACTGTGTTTGCGGCGACTGCTGCGGTGGTGTGTGCAACTGCTGCCCATTGGTTCAAGGGATTCATAATGAGGACTTCCGTGTATGAGGACTTTGTTCATGTGCTTGCTTTGGTACACTGCGAAGAAATCAGCCTAAAATAACTACTACTTAGGTGGAGGCGGCCAGACCAGGATTACCGTAACATATTTACGCGAAACTCGGTTTTTAGTGATTGTGACGCCTACATTTGAGGCACGTCCTCGCATGAATGTAGTACCCTAAATTACAGCTGCCCGAAAAAAGATTGTACCTATATGTACTAGTGTGCGCTTTGCTTGTGACTTGTAACTCGTGACTAATTACAGATGATTCAAATCTCGGGGACCACCAACAGCACCAGCACCACTAGCACCAGCACCGCCAGCAACAGCAGCACCAGCAGCAGGAGCAGCATTGTCACGTTTCATCGCATGACCTTCGACGACCATCAGGTATAACAACACGTTACAGGTGTCCGGAGAACCCTCCATCATGGGCTCTGAGTGCTACCGTCATCGCCCGGATAGAAGACAGTGTTGAATAGTACACAGAGGTTGTCTATTATCCGGGTGCAGGCCCTAGGATATCAGGAATTTCTCCCTGAAATTCCTGTTTTTTAGCCTAGTTTTGTGTACCTACCCTGATTTTTCAGTGTTGAGATTTTTGTAACACTGATTTTTCAGCATGTATTTCATAGCTGACACTGATTTTCCTGTCTTTTATTGAAGTGTACACTGAATGCACATTCCGAATCCTTCCTGTAAACCACCCGAATCAGTCAACCAATTTTTCGACATATATATTTTTGTAAGACACAAGTGATTGACATCGGAACTATCGTAGTGGTTAGCGAAATCGTACCGGATGGTAAAATCTAGGTTCAAAACCCTCAACCACATGTTTCAAAGTAGTGCTTCCATACACTGAGGCATAATGGGATTGAAAATATGTAAAATTTTAAAAGTGTGTAACACTTTTCAAAATTGTGTATTGTGAAAATGTAGGGATTGCCAACGCAGCAAAGGCAGCGTCGCATCGCTACTCGCCCTCTTTTGGCTACAAAAGAGGGGGTTAAGGCCATTCGGCCTCACCCACGTTCTTCTTTTCAATTTCTAAGTTTGAGTTTCCCACCCACCCACCCAGGTAGTATTTGTCTCTAAGATTCTTGCTGTACTCGTACCGTCATCGCCCGGATATAAGACATATATGTCTTATCTCGTACACGGGCAAAAATGCTTGAGTTATCTTGTAAACGGGATGGTTTAGGGTGTCTTATAAGTCTTATAAATGGAAAAAAATTTAAGTTGACTGTAACACTTGCAAAGTGTGTAGAAACCACCCAAGGACCAATTTCATTGAAACAGGCCGACCTCGGTGGTGATGCATGCAGCGCCCACACTTTCCACGTGACGGAGCTGCCACCGCTGGCAACATTCCTCTGTGCTGGCAGCATCTAATGATGCTGCCAGTGTCGTTTTGCTGCCAGCAGCGCATGGATGCTTCCAGAACACTGCTGGCATCACGTTGGCAGCGTGAGGGCTGTACTTTACGAGGAGATGCCTCGTAGAGGAGCGGCTCGGCACCTGTGGATGGGGCACTCTGGCTGGGGGGGGTAGTCGGGCTCTCACTTCATTTGATGCTCAAGGAGGTTGAATACTCGTCTCAACCTTGCTCTCAGCAGGCTCTCTAACCATGCGTAGCAAAGTACCAGTAGGCAAGTCCTCACCTCGTCCTCACGTGCAGGTGAATAACTACGGGCGAATTAACTCGCCCGGCGATGACATCCGTGTAGCCATGGCGAAGAACGCGAGCAAGGCGGCAAGTCCTACCGCCGCCTCCGGTGCGAGCTGTGACGGGGACAACGGAGACGAAGCGAACGGCGACGACGCCGAGGAGGATTGGCCGGAGAACGGCCACGACGACAGCGCTTCAGGCGACGATGTAGGTCCTGCTGACATCGAGGAGGACGACTGGTGGAATCGGCCGGTCGGGAGCGACGACGAGGTGGAAGAGTGGCATGCTGGTGATTCCGACAACGACGGAGGTAAAGATGCGCATGGTGACGACGCGGAGGCAGCGGCGGATGCACAGGAAGCGGTGGTGGATGCGAATGAGGAGGCTGACGACGAGGCGGGGGCGGAACTTGAGACAGTTGCGCCTGCGGATGCGGCCGCAGTTGCGGATGCGGATGCTGTGACGGAGTCAGACAAGGTTGCTGCGGATGCCGTCTTATTTAACGAGGAAGGCGGCGACGACGACCCATGGAGCCTTGGGACCGACGACGACGTTCCGCTACTGAAGCGGAGGCTGCGCCATCGCCTACAGTCCAAGTCGAAGCGGGCCCGCGTGGTGCGCTCTGACGACGACGGTCTGGGGGAGGAGCGTCGCCCGATACTCACCGCTGCGGAGAAGGGGAAAGCCAAGGTCACGGAAGCCCCTGCTAAGGCCCCTGCTAAAGTCCCTGCTCGTCGCCGCACAAGCAATAAGAAGCTGACATCCGACGAAGACCCGGGATCCAGCAAGGGTGCGGCTAAGAAGAAGGCGAAGAAGGCGCCGAATCCTGACGACATCGTCGTGAACGAGCCGATGGGCAGCGACGATGAGTACGCGGCGGCGGCGGGCCCGATTCCCACGTTCCCTGAGAAGGTAACGCTGAGGGACCCCACCCTCCATAATCCCAACACCCGCCCACCTTCCTCTCGTAGCAGAGACACTACGAAGACGCGCCGCAGCTGGACCGTGCGTGAGAAGCTTAAGTGGACGCGCCGCTATCAAGAGCTCGGCTCCTTGAAGAAGACGAGCGTGGAGTCAACCGCGTCCATCGCCTGCATCAGACGCTTGTGTGCGGAGGCGGAAGCGGGTGTCTACAAGGGCGCGGCTAACTGCTGCAAGCGGATGCACGGGGGGGGGGGGGGGGGGGGGGGGCGCCACTCACACTACCCCGACATGGAGGCAGCGTTGTACCGCTACATCTGCCTTCAGCGTGGCCATCTCGGTGAAGGACACCCAGAAGTGGAGCCGCGAGTGGATGAAGAAGCATTACCCCGGCAAGAACTGGAACGCAAACTCTCACTTGAGCCAGCGTTTCCGTGACCGCTGGAACCTGGTGATGCGGGTGAAGACCAAGGTCGGCCAACGTCTGTCGGCAGGTGCGTGTTGAAGGATTTCGTCTGGCAATCTATTGAATGCATGTACCTCACCCGGTGTCTAACCATCCCGTGCTTCCGTTGCGCTTGTCCCGTTTGCAGAGTGCCCGAAGGACTGCGAGTCCTTCTGGAAGTTTGTGCGTATCAACAGGGCGCGGCACAACATCGTCCTGGCCCGCATCATCAATGCGGACCAGACTCCACTATTCGTGGAGATGCCAGCCGAACGGACGATCGAGCACCGTGGCGCGCGCTCGGTCCCAATCCGCACTGCAGGCTACCAGAAGACGCGCTTGACGGTGATGCTCGCGTGCACTGCATCCGGGGAGAAGCTGCGGCCGTGGGTGTGGTTCAAGATGAAGAACGTCCCCAACTGTGAGATTCCGGAAGGTAAGCGAGCGTGAATTCAGCCGTGCGACTGCCTGATGAGCGTGCCCCACTGTGCTGATGCCCGTCTGTCCCTTGTGTGCCTGGCAGGAAGCGTGGTCCAAGCACAGGATAACGGGTGGATGGACGAGAGCGCTGTGCAGACTTGGCTGTCCAAGGAGGTGCTGCCCCATCTGAACCCCCAGCGCGGCCAGAACGCAAGGCGGGAGATGCTGGTGTTGGACTCCTACCGTGGTCACATCACCCAGACCATGCTTCAGCCGTACCGCACGCACAACATCACTCCTGCAGTCACCCCAGCGGGTTGTACGAGCCAGATTCAACCCCTGGACGTCTCCATCAACCGGTGCTTCAAGGCTGCTGTGCGAGCGCGCTACGCCAGGTGGTTCATGAGTGAAGGGATTCACCTGAAGACGAAGAAGGGTGAGTTGGTCCTTCATTTACGGTTTTATTCATGTTCTGTTTCGTGTCATTGTCTTAAACATGCTCCTTCATATCCGTGTCTCTTACATCTCGCTGCCCCGTCCTCGGTCCCACCCGCAGGGAACCTGCTGAGGCCTCCGCACCCCGTGGTGCTGCAGTGGATCGCGGAGGCTTGGGATCAAGTCCCCAAGCAGATCATCATCGACGCGTTCCGCCACTGTGGGATCTCGAGCAAGCTGGACGGAACACAGAACCACCTGGTGATGTCTCACCTGCGCGCCAGGAGCACCACCGATGTCTCAGCGGACATGTCTCTCGGGGGGGCCACAGGCGACAACACGCGCCTGCTTGGTCGGGCTCCAGAGGAGGAGGAGGAGGAGGCGATGCAGGCGGAGGGCGTGCGGGAGGTGGCCGTGGCAAACAGCCTGGAGGTGCTGTACCAGGAGACCCCCAACTACTGCGGAGCGGCGGCCGAGGCTGACCGCATGATCGAGCCTAGGGAGACGGCTAGGCATGCCTGGCGAGTGATAGACCTGGGTGTAGAGCCTGTTGTTAGTGCAGGTGAGGAGGCGGTGACTGAGGGGGGTTAGGTAGAAGTAGAGATTCATGACTGTATGCATATACCCCCCTAAAGTAAGGAAGGCTAGCTAAGAAGACACCCCCTGTTTATAAGAAAACCCCTAAACCCTGGTTCTGATTATAAGACATAGATGTCTTAACTCGTACACACAAATAGGTGTCATATAAAAAGGCTAGCTTGTTTATAAGAGACACCCGTATAGTAGACAACCCCTGTCTAGTGTTCAACACTGTCTTATATCCGGGCGATGACGGTAGTTATCATTGGACGAGATTGATGTACTCATACCCATATGAAATGAAGCACGATGCCTTTACAAGTTGCAGAAAGCAAGCTTTCACAATCCAGGCTTTTTATTTTAGGAACCCTGAAATTCAGGCTTTTTTTCACAAGGACCCTGATGCATCAACGTCCCTAAAAGTGAATCTGAGGGCCTGTCCGGGTGTCTCTCATCCAGGCTAGCCTCATTATAAGACACCTATTTGTGTGTACAAGTTAAGCCAGTGTAGGGGTTAGGGGCAATTGTACAGCGAAGGGGTATCTTCTAAACAGTTCTTTGTCTGTTTATAAAGACTTATAAGACACCCTAAACCGTCCCAAATACAAGATAACCCAAGCATTTTGAGTAGCATACGAGATAAGACATATATGTCTTATATCCGGGCGATGACGGTAGTATAATCGCCCCTACCATCCCCTACAGCACAACTGGCACCAGCAACAGCAGCCCCACAGCTCATGGCACAACCGTCAACTAGCATCTGTGGTAACAACACATCACAGGTGTCCGGAGTACCCTCGATCATGGGCTCTCTGAGTGCTAGTATAACCGCCACTACCATTCCCTAAAGCACCACTGGCAGCATGACATCTCACGAACGACCTTGGCTTGGACTATCATCAGGTGTAACAGCACGTCACAGGTGTCCGGAGTACCCTCGATCATGGGCTCTCTGAGTGCTCATATAACCGCCACTACCATCCCCTAACGCACCACTGGCACCAGCAGCACCAGCACCAGCACCACCAGCACCGCGTGAGAAGATATTTTTCAGCAGTTGCCGGCCGCGCCGATGTGGCGTGGTGGACCTCCTATCACTGCCCTCCACGTCATCAACACCTGAAGCCCCTCCAGCGTGCAATGAGGAGGCGACGAGGGGGAAGTGCCCCTTGGGAGTGGTAGGCTCCTGTGGGAATTGGTGGGATAGGAGAAGAGGGGATTCAAATGAGTATAAGGGGATGTGAACTGTTCAGAGAATCGTGGGCTGCTGTGACCGAGGGGTGGCACACCGAGGGGTGGCACACCGAGGGGTGGCACACCGAGGGGTGGCACACCGAGGGGTGACACACCAAGGGGTGGCACACCAAGGGGTGGATCGCGGTCACTGATCCCTTTCACTTCATTAATGCCCGAAACCTGTCTTCTGTGCAGCAAGGAGGCAATTAGAGGGCCATGGGGTTTGGGTGGGGTGGGCTTCTGTGGGGAGTGGAAGAACCAAGGGCAAGGAATTACACAAGCGGAAGCGAGAGGAGTTTCTGGGTGTAAGAGTTAAAAAGGATATACAAATAGAGGCTAGAAAATGTGTTACATTATATTTTTGCAATGGAGATCGTAGTACCTTGCTTTGTCGAGCGTGCGAGCCTCGGTGTCCCATGTGTTGCGAGAGCGAGTGGGAAAGGGAGTGCATGAGCCCGTGAGACTGTGAGAGGTTGTGCGAGCGAGACAGGTTGGAGAAATGGGAGAGGTTGTGAGAGTGTGAGAGGTCGGGCGAGTGAGCAAGGTTGGGTGAGTGAGAGAGGTTGTGTGAGTGCGATTGTTTCCGCGACAGTATCTTGTCAGCAGAGTGTGGTGTTGCTGCCGATGGGTTGGAGAGAGTTGATGAGGAGTGGGCAACAGTAGAGAAGGGGAAGGAGGATGAAAAGGAGGGGAAGGAGGAGGATGACGAAGTGGAGGAGGAGGAGGGTGGTAGACCAGCTAAGCAGTCGAGAGACGCACGGACGGATGGCATACCTGAAACAGAGAGATGGGAACGATGGAAGAAACAAGCAAATGAGTAAACTGGGTGTTTTAAGCAGGAAGACTTCAACCTACACCTAAACCCTGAACCCTCACTTGGTACCAGCTCAATAGCATGACGTCCTTAGTTATTATCCACAGAGGCTCTTAAGATTCCCAAACAAACGGCCTAAGCAAGTTATGAGACGTCTCAAAACTTGGTAGTACCAACTCAAAGGCATGAAGTCCTTGTTATTGTTCACAGAGGCTCTTGAGATTCCCAAACAAACGGCCTAAGCGAGACCAGCAGGTGCCAAACCAGACCGACAGGAGCACTCGACCCTCCTGCTTCCAACGCAACGGCTTCCTTTGCGTAAAGCAGAGTTTGAATGGGGCGTTTTGTGTGGGCAGTTTTTGAAGCAACTCTGCGGTTGGTGTGTGCCGTGTACTCACTAGCCGTGGCAGAGCGGGGGACGAGGGAGGAGGAAGCAAGGCTGTCAAGAAGGCTGGATGGAACAGTGGAGGGGAGGAAGCGACGCGCGAAGGGGGAAGGGGGAGTGGGAGGGGAGGGAGAGTTTGAACTACATTAAACAGTGAAGAGGAAGTGATGGGCAAAGGGGGAAGAGGAAGCGGGAGGGGAGGAGGCGTTCAAAGACTGCACATACTCTCATAGCTTGTTAAACAAGTTGCCTTTACAAAAGAAAGGAAAGGAAACGACACAGCAGGAGGAGCAGGGAGGAGGAGAGCGCCACAAGGGAGGGAACTTTGGCGCAAGGTTGGGAAGAGGGGTATACACGAGAATACCTGTATAATTTCATTCGGGTACACACCTTTCAGAAGGGGGGGCAAGGGGCATGGAGGAGAGGAGTGACGAGGAGGAGAGGGCTGTGTGGGACGAGCCTCGAGGGTCTGGAGAGTGTGGGATGTGGGGAGATGGACGGGCGAGAGGGGTGAGGAGGGATGGTTTGAGTGCACAGGATGGAATGTATATGGAGTGACGAGGAGGAGAGGGCTGTTTGGGACGAGTCTCGAGGATCTGGAGTGTGTGGGGAGAGGAGAGGAGGGATGTATGGGAGAGAGGGAAGGATGGGTGAGAGGGAAATGGGGTGCGGTGAGTGCATGTGTATGGGATGGATGGATTGAACACGGAAAGTATGATACTTGGTGCTCACTTATTGTAGGGGAGGCTCTAATCAGACCGGACTCACCTCTTGTAGGCGAGGCAGAATAGCCCGACCCATACTGGAAGCACTCCCGCTCCGTGCATGCTTTTCTTAGGGGCCTTAAAAACCACCCCCAACTCACCTTTCACAGGGGAGGCAGACAATTTTCCAGGCCATGCTCAAAGAGAGACTCACCTCTCGTAGGCGAGGCAGAATAGCCCGACCCATACTGGAAGCACTCCCGTTTCATGTATGCTGCTGCAACACTTGATAGATTGTGCCCAACTCATCTCTCACACAACAAGACTCACCTCTCGTTGGGGAAAGCACCACACTGAAAGAGAGACTCACCTCTTGTAGGCGAGGCAGAATAGCCCGACCCATACTGGAAGCACTCGCGCTCCATGCTTGCTGCTGCAACACATGATAGATTGTGCCCAACTCATCTCTCACTCAACAAGACTCACCTCTCGTAGGGGAGGCAGAGTAGCCCGACCCATACTGAAAGCACTCCCGCTCCATGCTTGCTGCTGCTGCAGCCGCTGATGCTGGTGCTGCTGATGGTGCTCGTGCTGCTGCTAGTGCTGGTGTTGAAGCTTCTGCTGCTGCTTCGGCTATGAAAGGGAAGGCATCGGAGGGGGATAGGAGGAAAACGGAAAGAAACAGGGTGAAAGAATGAAGCGCCTTAAGCGAAGCATAGCAGGGAAAGGAAGGAACATTCGGAGGTGAGACACATGGAAGGAGGAGGATAACGGAGAGAAGAGAAGGAGTAACTGCCATCGAAGCAGCACCCTGATTGGTTTACCTGGCAGCAGGTAGCTCTTGGGCATGTGACTGGTTGCCCTGGGTTGCTGCTGTCGGTTCAGTGCATTGCGCCCTGAGTACTCCCAACACGCCCGCACTCGCTGCAGCAATGAAAAGAGAGTACAGCACAGAATAGGCATGGAATCAGGCACATGGAAAAGAAGATGAGGCTGCTGCTGTCGGTTCAGTGCATTGCGCCCTGAGTATTCCCAACATGCCCGCACTCGCTGTAGCATAGAAGAGGGGGGGGCACACACACGCACGCACGTGCGCGAGCGTGTGCACCATCGCACGTACGCACGCATGCACATGCGCACACAAGCCCGCACACAAGCCCGCACACAGACACACACACACACACACACACACAAACACACACACACACACACACACACACACACACACACACACACACACACACACACACACACGCACACACGCATACACACCCATACATACAGAGACGCACATGAACCACTGAAGCTAAGGAGGATGCAAGATGGCAGAGGCAGAAGCGACGCCCCAGCCCCACCCCCACCTTTCCCTTCCCCCCCCCCCCTCCTCCCCCACCCCCCCCCCCCCCACACACACACACACCCATACACACAGAGACACACATGAAGCACACGCACCCAGACACACATGCATGCGATGGTGCATGTGAGGTAAGCCTACACGCACCCACACACACATGCATGCGATGGTGCATGTGAGGTAAGCCTACACGCACCCACACACACATGCGAACGCACATTCCCGCATGCGACGCGACCATGACGTCAGCAGCAGCCATCTCCTTGGCCTGCAGCGAGACGGCGCCGGTGAAGCGATCGGCCGCACCCAGACACACATGCATGCGAGAACGTGCGTACCTGAGACGGAGCGCGCACACACAGACACCTCCCCCCCACACACACAAGCACAGAAACACGTGGACACACACCGACACCCACTCCCCTGCTCGCCCACCCACACACATCTCGCACATGCTCGCATGCATGGACACCCATACCTCGGCAGCTGACGCGACTCTGACGTCAGCAGCAGCCATCTCCTTGGCCTGCAGGGAGACGGCATCGGTGAAGCGATCGGCCGCAGCGCCAATGCGGTCCACCACGGACACTAGCATGCTCACTGCATAGTCCCTCACGTTATGGAGTTCTCTGCGTGGGGAGGGAGTAGGGGGCACACACACGCACGATTGAGTAGCAGCGCCAATGCGATCCACCACAGATACCAGCATGCTCACTGCATGGTCCCTCACGTTGTGCAGCTCTCTGGATTGAGAGGTGAATCGAGGGGAAGGGAGGGATTGAGGGTCACAATACAATCAAGCAGCAGCAAGCCAATGCTGTCCACCACGGACACGAGCATGCTCACTGCATGGTCCCGCACGTTGTGCAGCTCTATGCGTGGGCGAAGCACAGTGGAGGAAAGGAGGGGGAACAGCACGGCATAAGGATATGAGGTTGGCAGCAGCGCCAATGCGGTCCACCACGGACACCAGCATGCTCACTGCGTAGTCCCTCACGTTGTGCAGCTCTCTGGGAGGGGAGTTGGATAGCAAGGCACATCCATGTAAGATTTAGCAGCAGCAACACCAATGCGGTCCACCACGGATATCAGCATGCTCACTGCGTAGTCCCGCACGTTGTGCAGCGGAGGAACAGAAGCATAAAAAATGGATGGCTGGATGGCTGGACGGCTAGACGGTGGAGTAAATGGCTCAAACAATATAGAAGCCAAGGAACCGAGTCCCAACATCAATGATGTGGAAAACTTTTATTGAATAAGAGCGCGTGTCTTTTGCTGTAGACGTTAAAGAAAAAGGTTGAACTTTTGCTGGTAACCATCTTCGTTAATTTCGTCAAAGAAATCGCAAGGCAATCGTGTGTCCTAGTTCAAACAGTGTGAAAGAAGTTGGACACAAACTGAAGTCGACCTCGCATTAGGAGTTTTTCGTTTACGTGAATTCAAGCGTGTGTTCTTTTGCGCACGCACGAACATTTCCGAGTTTCGCGACAGTAACGACGTTCAGTGTACTGCGTTACCGAAGCCAGATTCGGTAACGAACTGTAATGCGATCCGGGTACCCTACGAAACTTTAGTGCGACAAACAAGTTAACTGTTTAAAGTTGAACTTTGTTAGTCAACTTGGTTGTTGTTGACAGTGCTCCTCGACCACCAAAAGTAGAGATGGTCGAGCAGAGGTCGACCAAAGTTCAAATGTGAAAGTTCAACAAAAAAACATGAACCTGACCCAAATTTGCAAAAGACACGCGCCCTAAACCACCACTGCTTACATGTCCTTTTGGTCCGTGACAAGATAGGCCTCCTCTGCATACGTGGCAGCATCCAATAGGGTGGGCTGCAAGTCACGCAGCTCCTGCATTCACAAGGCGTGGAATTCAGCATTAAGGTTTAGCATGGTTTAGCATATGCAACATTCCTTCATACATGGAACGGCTCTGCAGAATTCCGCGCCTAGGAACTTTCCTGTCTAAACGTGCTCATGCTCCTTGCTAAGTGAACTGAACGCTAACTACCTGCAAGGCCTTGGGGTATTGAAAGCATATGCCACGTCCGCAATCTACCTGATGGTCTCTGCGATTTATCAATCGGACATCTAGCTTACGAACCTGAATGCTTCGTTGCAACATCTTGTCAAACGGATCCGTACTCGCTTTTGCCATTCCTGCTGCACGGAAGTATCGAACCCTCGACCACGTAGTCACAGAAAACCGTTCAGGGGACAAGCAATGACACCTTGGGAACTGAAAAGCTTTCGACTGTAAGAGCTGGTTCCGTTCGACAGCCGATTACATGGGACTGCGAAATATTCAACTACTTCAAATCGAACTACACGGCTAAAACAAGCTCCCTATGAAGCTTAGGATACGACTCAGGCAGCATCAATTTCTTTGTATCGCGCAAGGGACAAATCAGCTAATCTAGTCTATGTCATCCTGGCTCGGTTTTGACTTAGGGAACTACGGTGCCTGCCACTTTCCCAAGCCGTGGTTCACCTGCTAATTACTTCTGAGAGAGGTGAAGTATGGTATGGTGCGTTACACCTGATTTAAGCATGGTTGATTGCGGCAACCTCATCCAGATTGACTCCTGGGAAAAAGTACGCCGTCAGGAGGCGGAGCGGGTTCCAGAAGAAACGCGTGCCGAGAAACGGCTGAGGCTGACTGACACCCTCAGACACAGCCTAGGTTCCTGGTTCGGGCTAGTCAGCCGCAGCTTCTGAGGGGAACCGTGTCGTGCCAGGCAAAGGCTCGGAAGTGAGGCTCGGTATTCTTTTGGAAAATGTGGATGCCCGGACGAGGCGCTTCATCTGAGCTGTAGGGCTTCGAAAATGACTCGCTTGGGGGATGGCGCGATTTACTAAGCAGGCGTGTATTCCATACTTCGCGACAATCACATAAATTCCTTATCGATGTTGGAAACATTCTACAGAATTTGCAAAAAACACCTTGATTCTACAAAGCCCAGGGTAAACATGGGAGGGGTCCTTCTGGAACTCAAATAAACATTCAACAATAGCACGCTTGATTCTATAAATGTATGTCCATTGTGCATCTATCACACGTCACGTCAACCATTGACAATCATTTCTTGAGAGTGGTGGAATACACGAGCTCTCCAAAAACACCATAAAACTTGACGGTCAGAGAGTTCATAGAGACCTCCAGGGCACTAAAACCCTGACCAGGGAAGAAGAAACGCAGGCCGGGGGCAACAGGGGGAGCATCGCCTCGCCATGCCTTGGAACCCCCACCCACCGTGAAATAGTGAACAGGACTGAATCAAGGGATGTACATGGGATGGGAAACCGAACATGAGTGAAGGTAGAAAAGAAAGAGAGAATTTACTCATGTCTCAAACAAGGTACATGCTGCTACAGTATTGTGCAAGCAGGGGGGTGAAAACAGTTGGAAGACGAATGTGTGTCTTACCTCTCGTCCTTTTTAATGTGTTGCATGTTGCGATCGTGACCGTTGATGTAAACGTCCACACCATACTTCTGATATAGTCACGGACGAAATGGAACAACACAGAGGGAATTTGGTCGGAAATCATCAATAAGTGCTTGTTCTTGGACACAACAACCATGTGCGATGTGTGTGCCCACACAAGTAGTAGCACACCAGCACCCTTTCACAGCTCAATCTCACCTCTAGCAGGACTTCATGTCACTTCTAGAAAGTTCTCCATCCTACCTCAAGCAGGGGTAGGATCACAAGCCAGAAACCCTGTACTGTAAACTCTATCTCGATCTCACCTCCAGCAGCGGCTTGATCCTGTCAACCATCTCGGGCTAATCGCCATGCGTGCCATAGCTGAACACCGGGTGGTGCGCCCCCACCACCTTTCCTTCCACTTCCCCTCCCAGGCTTCCCCACGAGCCTCAAGAAGCAACTCCTATGCACACTGACTACCCTTTCTGGCCTCCATCGTACCTCCAGCAGCGGCTTGATCGTCTCAACCATCTCCAGCTGGTCGCCATGCTTGCCATAGCTGAACACCGAGTGGTGCGCCCCCACCACTCCCAGGGTTCCTGACTCTTATACACAGGGTGTAGTCCTAAACCTTAAGCCCTCACCTCCAGCAGCGGCTTGATCCTGTCAACCATCTCCGGCTGGTCGCCGTGCTTGCCATAGCTGAACACCGGGTGGTGCGCCCCCACCACCTTCCCTTCCTGAAGTGAAGGGCTTTACTCCTATACACAGACTACCCTTTCAGGCGTCAACCTCACCTCCAGCAGCGGCTTGATCCTGTCAACCATCTCCGGCTGGTCGCCGTGCTTGACATAGCTGAACACCGGGTGGTGCGCCCCCACCACCTTCCCTTCCACCGTGCCTCCCAGGCTTCCCCACGTGCCTCAAAAAGCAACTCCTTTGCACACAAACTACCCTTTCCGGCCTCCATCGTACCTCCAGCAGCGGCTTGATCCTCTCAACCATCTCGGGCTGGTCGCCGTGCTTGCCATAGCTGAACACCGGGTGGTGCGCCCCCACCACCTTCCACCGCGCCTGCGAGTTGCTCAGCCACCCCTCCAGCTCCTGGCAAGAGGTACAACGAGGGAGATGCATATGCATGTGTGAGCGTGTGTGTGTGCATGTGTGGCTGCACGTGTGAATGCCCACCACCTTCGGCCGCGCCTGCGGGTTTGAACGTGCAGGGCGTTTGAGAATTCTCCAAATATGGGAGAAGATGGCTATGCTTGATGTAAGCGTGGAGGGCTATTCATGCATGCATGTGTGTGTGTGCACGCCTGTGCATCTAACCATGTGTGGTCGTGGTGGTGTGGGGGGTGGTGGAGAAGGAGGGGTGCCACCCAGACCTCACCACTTATACCCTCACTCACCTCCAGCTGTGCCTCCTCCTGCCGGCTCCAGTTGCCTGTGTTGAGGCCCCGCCAGTCCACCACCTCGTTCATACTTCAAACCTCCCACTTTTATCCAAACAGCACTATCAAATTCCAAACAACATCCCATCCAACACTCACCTGCAGCTGCGCCTCCTCCTGGCGGCCCCAGTTGCCCGTGTTGAGCTCCCTCCAGTCCACCCGGCGCTCCTCCTTGTGAAACAGGTCAACACAGTCAACGCAGTCAACAAAGTCAACGCAGTCAACACAGTCAACGCAGTCAACACAGTCAACGCCTCACCTGCAGCTGTGCCTCCTCCTGCCGGCTCCAGTTGCCCGTGTTGAGGCCCCTCCAGTCCACCCGCCGGCCCTCCTTGCGCCGGTATGCAGGGATCAGCGGCATCGAGTCGTACAGAAACAGGTCAACAAAGTCAACGCAGTCAACGCCCTGCCCTCCTTCAGAGTCAACGCGGTCAACACCCTGCCCTCCTCCAGAGTCAACGCGGTCAACACCCTGCCCTCCTCCAGTGTCAACGCAGTCAACGCCCTGGTCATCCATCTCGGCGCAGATGGGCAGCGAGAGGGCCATGCTGCGACGGCAAGTCCATCGAGGATCGCGATTGGCCAGCGCTGGATGCAGCTGGGCTAGCACGTTCCCATAATAGTCATGGTTTCCCAGGACTGATGGCGAGCAGGGCAGGGGGAGAACAGGGGAACAGGGCAACAGGGGAACAAGGGACGAAGGAAATGGGGACAAGGAAAGAGGGAGGGATGTTGGTGATTGGCCAGCGCTGGGTGCAGCTGGGCTAACACGTTTCCGTAGTAGTCATGGTTTCCCAGGACTGATTGCGAACAGCCTGGGAGGGCGGGGAGAGGGGGAAAAGGGGAAGGGAAGAACGAGGGGTGGTCGTGATTGGCCCAGCTAGCATGCAACAGAGATAAAAAGTCCCAATGAAAGCCGTGGTTGTCCAGGAATGGAGGTGAAAATCACAGGGGGAGAAAAAAGGGAAGGTAAAAGAGAGTGACGGTCGCCATTGGTCACTGCTGCATACCAGATAAAGAGCTTCACCTGGGTATCAGGGACTCTGCAGGCTGCGGTGGGTGTATATATTTGTAGCCTTGGGAACTTTGTATATATCCATGGAAGACTGGGCGACTTGGGGTGGGGAGCATTGGCGTCTGGGAGGCCAGCTACAAGGCGAACGCTCAAAATTTGAGCGACACATACAGGCTCACCAGCATATGTGGGCTCACCAACCCACAGATACTAAGTGGCTTACCAGGGGATCTGCAGGCTGCGGTGGGTGTAGATATTCGTAAAGGACTGGGCGAATTGAGGGGCATTGACGTCTGGAAGGCCGAGCTCGAGGAAGTTGTCTCCAAGCGAGACCACGAACTGGGGGTGCATGTGGGCTCCAATTAGGCCCATCTGATTGACAGGAAGATGGGAAGTGAGGGGATAAGATAAGAAAACGAACAAAGGAGGTGGGTAGAGCTGGTGGTTATTGACGTCTGGAAGGCCGAGCTTGAGGAAGTTGTCCCCCAGGGAGACCACGAACTGGGGGGCCATGTGGGCACCGATCAGACCCATCTGATTGGGATGCAGGGGTGGGAGTGGGGGGAAGGGAGACGTGCATCTCATTTCATCCTAATGCTATGCCTCTTGCTGCATGCATCCTTTGCTGTGGTGCTACCTGCGTGGCGATGAGCGACTGGTTGAACGTGCAGTTCCTTCCCCACTCCCTTACTAGCAAGTGATGTGCTTGCTCATCCCGTGCTATGCCTCTTGCTGCATGCATCCTTTGCTGTGGTGGTACTTGCGTGGCAATCAGCAGCTACTGAGGTGACCTTTGGGTCGACTCAAAAGCCACCTCGATTTTCAGTGCCGTGCTAGCTTTGCTGTGGTGGTACCTGCATGGCGATTAGCGACTGGTTGAACGTGCCGTTCCTTCCCCAGTCGCCAAACACAAAGAAATGAACAGGTGCAATGCTGCTGCTGCTGTTCCTGTGCTCGCTGCTGCTATTCGGTGGGAAGGAACGCATGGCTGCTGGTATTTGCATCCGTGGCGGGAGCAGCGGGATCGACTGCATAGGTGGGCGGTCGTGACTGTGAGGGTGGAGCAGGGTGGAGCGGGGCAGCAGCAGCATGGCGAGAAAGCAGGCGCAGAGGGAGACGAGGAGCAGCAAGGGCACCTTCCGAGCAGTGCGAGGGGGGGGCTGCGATGGAGGGGGAGTGGGGAAGGAAAAGAACTTGTTTGGAAAGAAGTAATCTGCGGCAAAAGAAGAAAGAAAAGCTGTGATGTAAGGCTTGTCAGAATATTATGCTCTAGCCTGTAGTGGGGTTCTCTATAGCGAGTACAACCCTTCTAGGGTTTGCTATTTGTATCTTTATTCTTGCTAGTTCAATCCTCTCTTCTTTCTTCTAAACTTCAACATGCTATCAGAGCAGGTCGATCCCCTTGGATCGATCCTGTGGGTGGGCTCACCACCTCGATGCTTCCGCTGCAACTCCTACTGCTACTCTCAGTGCCGCACGCCCCGTGGCGTGCGGCAGTTTTTTCTTCCCGCCGTGCGCCCCGAGGCGCGCGGCGGTTTTCTGCCCGCCGTGCGCCCCGAGGCGCGCGGCGGACCCGCGCGGTGCGCCCCGAGGCGCGCGACGGGCTTCTGCCCCGTCACTCGCCGCGTCGCCCTCGGGAGGCGATGCGACGGGCGACGGGGACCCGCGCGTCGCCCCCGTCGCCCTTCGCGGCCCGTCGCCGCCCCTTCAGGCCCCTCGCGGCTCCTTCATCGGCCCCGCGCGCCGCCCCTGCGGCCCCCCTCGCGCCCTTCGACGGCCCCGCGCGCCGCCCTCGCGGCGTACCGGGGGCGCTACACCGCCCCCCCCCCCCCCCCCCCTTTTCCCGTCGCCCGTCGCGGCTCCCTCGGGGGGGGAGGGGGGCGAGCGCCGCCCCTTCTGCAGCCTGTTTTGGCGCTCTGGGACACCACGTGTCGCCCCCCCCCCCCCGTAACCTCCCTACCCGCCATCCCGCCCTGCCCTGTGTAAAGGTTTGGGGGTGGCGAGTAGGGGGTGGCGGGTGTGTGGTCTCCCCTGCTCCTCCTCCTCCTCTGTCTCCCACTGCTGCAGCTGCCGCTGAGGGGGGGTGGGTGTGTGGGAGTCGACGGAGTCGTGCTAGGGGGTGAAAGGGGAGTGGAGCTAGGGGTGTAGCAGCGGGTGTGTGTCAGGGGGGGTGGGACTGTTTGCGGGAGGTTGAGCGGAGGCTGCCGTCTTGTCGTCCGCAGCACCTGTAGTCCGGGGCGCTGTCCCGGTAGCCCAGTGAGCTCGTCGCTGCGCCAGTCGCCTGTGGGTCCGTAGCTCCTGCCGCTCGTCTTAGCCGCGGAGCCAGTTACTCCTGTAGTCCGGCCACTTGGTCCGGTAGCCACTGTGCTCGCCACTCCTGTTGCCCGTGTGTCTGCAGCTTCAGCCGTCGCCTCTTATCTCCTCTCCTCTCACTGTCCCTCCTCCTCCTCACTTGCCCGTTGTGATTGCCACTAGCTTTGCTCATAATTGTGAACTTTAATTATTGCTTCTTGAACTTGTGCTCAGAATTTGTGGTGACATTGTGATCCACCCTGAGTTTGTACTGCTTTGCTTGCTCTGCTGATTACACCCCACTTTGGCTATGGGGGTGTGTCAGAATATTATGCTCTAGCCTGTAGTGGGGTGCTCTATAGCGAGTACAACTCGTCTGGGGTTTGCTATTTGTATCCTCATTCTTGCTAGTTCAATCCTCTCTTCTTTCTTCTAAACTTCAACAAGGCTTGCAACAAGAACGAAGGTAGAGATAAACTTCTGCAAACAAGAGTACCGTATGGCCCCGGATATAAGCGCATATGCGCTTATAATAAGTTCAAAAATTTTAGGGGTGGCGCTTGTAATTGAGTAACGGCCATAAGCGCCGGCGCTTATATAATGACACATACAAATTTATACGTTAAAGGTACAAAATTGAAACGAGTCGAAATCATATAGAGTACCACAAAGCAGAATCGCGCGCAAGCGATTCTGCTTCCTGCACACTGTCAAATTCGCGTCACTTTGCTGGGATGCCAGCACATCCTGACTGGACGCGCAGCCAGTCAGGTCTTCGCGAGTCAAACGAAGCGAAAACGAAAATTGACTCGCTGCAAAACTGAAATTTGTTACCGATTTTAATTGATATTTAAATTAAAAAGGGGGGGCGCTTATAATAAGTAATGGTTTTACAGAGGGGGCGCTTATAATCGAGGATCGGCCATAAGCGCCATGCTCCAGATAGAAGCGCCGGCGCCTGTAATAGGCCGGCGCCTATATCCGGGGCCATACGGTACATGCAATCCTTAAAAATAAACCATTGAACAGCATACACCGTTAAGAGGCTCGAAAGAGATTACTCAAAGAATGAAACTCACAACGGTAGAACACACAACACAGTTAAAAACGGCCAAAACATCGCTCTCGATATACATTGGCAAAAGAGCGGGAAATGCGGGACATCATGCACGCATTCCCTTTTTCGGACCCCTCTCCCTCCTCCTTCTTTCCCCTAACCTACCCCGCGTCTAGCTCCATTCACCTCCGGGCCCCTACAACTATCATGGCAATGAACGACATTCCATTGTTATTCCGTAATGCGCATCATGTGACGATCGCATTACCTCGCGACGCGTCAGCAGTGGGTCCGTCAGTGACGATGCTTCTGGAAGCGATGCCAGCGAGACTGCCACGTGGCGGTCTTCCAGCTCTTCTATTTTATGTGGAGAGTATCGGGGAGGTGCCACGTGGCGGTCTGAGCCTCACAAAATTGAATCAGTTCGGGTCAAACTTGATTTGACTAGTCATTTCCCCACCTCCATCTTCGCTCGTCGTTATCACACATCACTGTCACGGGTCAAATCGCCGTGAACGCTTCTTTTCTCGCTTCCATTCTTTCTCAACCAGCGTTATTATTCACTCATGCGCAGCGTGCCTGATTGCTTCAAGCTTTCGCGTGGCGTCCTCGCTTCGAACACCTCCCCCTCTCTTCACATTTCTATCTTCCTCCCAGTTCACACTCTTTCGCCGTTCATTCGAATACCACAGTTTTCGTTCCATCATGCCCCGACTTCTGGCCTCACCGCATCTCACCGCTTCTCACGCCGCGTCACCGCCATTTCCGCCTTCCCGATTCTTCCAGTCGCGCGCTTCGAATGCGTCAAGCGGATGTCTAGGCGGAAAATGGGACGACATTACTCTTACTCTCCGCCGCGACATTAGCTCGGAGGACGATTGGGAGAACCGCGGAAGACAAGGGAGCGCGGAGAGCTCTGCGGGGCGGAGTTGGGGGGAAGGGCGGAGCAGGCGGAGAGGGGTGTGTTGCGCAACGGGGACAGGGGGCAAGGGATTCGGAGGGGGACAGGGGACTGGGGAAAGCGCAGGCGGGGCGAAAGGGAGCAGCGCATCCAAGAAGGACGATAAGAAGCAAGACAGCAGCGCGTTTGGGGGGCTGGACTGGAGAGAAGTGGCCCGCCCTGCTCCTCCCATGCTGGATCTGTCTAAACCACGGGTGAGTGGCGAGTGCTTTTCGTGCTCTATATTTCGTGCTCTGGATTCCATAGTTTTGCGCAACACACCCCTCTCCCCCAACTCCGCCTCGCAGAGCTCTCCGCACTCCCTTGTCTTTCGCGGTTCCCCCAGTCGTCCCCGAGCTAATGTCGCGGCGGAGAGTAAGAGTAATGTCGTCCCATTTTCCACCTAGACATCCGTTTGACGCATTCGAAGCGCGTGACCGGAAGAATCGGGAAGGCGGAAATGGCGGTGACGCGGCGTGAGAAGCGGTGAGATGCGGTGAGGCTAGAAGCCGGGGCATGATGGAACGAAAACTGTGGTATTCGAACGAACGGCGAAGAGTGTGAACTGGGAGGAAGATAGAAATGTGAAGTGAGGGAGAGGTGCTCAAAGCGAGGACGCCACGCGAAAGCTTGATGCAATCAGGCGCGCCGCGCGTGAATGAATAATAACGTTGGTAGAGAAAGAATGGAAGCGAGAAAGGAAATGGGCACGGCGATGCAACCCATGACGGTGATGTGTGATAACGACGAGCGAAGATGGAGGTGGGGAAATGACCAGTCAAATCAAGTTTGACCCGAACTGATTCAATTTTGCGTGAAATGAAATGGAAGACCGCCACGTGGCACCTCCCCTGGTTTCCCCACCCCCCAGCCACCTTATCTCGGCCCTCCCCACATTCACCTGGCAGCAGTAGGAGCAGCAGACGGCCCAGTGCCTCAGGAAAATCAGCTACCCAGAAACCACCCATCCAACCCACATACTCAACTACCTACCCACCCAGTCATTGCCCGCCCACCCACCTGCTCACCCACCAACCCCCAACAACTCACCAGCTACCCAGCATACCTCACCCCTTACCTCTTACTCACCCAACCAGGGGAATTTATCCCCCTTCTCTCTCACTCACCCACCCAAAGGGATTTAACCCCTTCCCTCTCACTCACCCAACCAAGAAAACTCAACCCCCTTTCCGCTTACTCATTCACCCATGGGGATTCAGTCCCCTTACCTCTCCCTTCACCCACCCAAGGGGACTCAGCCCCCTGCCATCTCACTTACCCACCAAAAAAAATTCGACCCCCATCCCTCTCACTCACCCAATCAAGGGGTTTCAGCCCCCACTCTCCCAACTCCCACTCTCCCACGCAAGGGGTTTCAGACCCTCAGCCCCCATTGCTGCTACTGCTTCCGCTTCTGCTGCTGCCAGTCTGCTACTCTGCTTCCCCTGCTGCTGCTACTACTGCTGCCGGTCTGCTACAGCCTTGGACGTACTGGGAGGGAAGAGAGAGGGAGTGAGGTAGGGGAGCAAGGGAGACCAGTGAGAATGGGGCAAAGAGCAGGCAGCAGCGTGAAGACAGGGAGAGGGCAAGAAACGAGAGCGAGCACGGGAAAAAGACCGGCAGCAGCATGAGTGCATGAGGGAAAAGAGGCTCACCTTGTTCAAGACGACCCCGATACTCTCCCATTCCATCCCAGCCGAGTGGAGTGCTGCCCCCCTCCCTGCACGGCCACTCGGGAGGGGCGTGAGGGAGCGTCGGTGTTGACCCCACACCCCTCCCCCCCACCTGCAACGCGCACACACAGAGCTAGTTTGAGCGCGGTGGTGGGAGCAAGTTGAATGGGAAACTGTGACTTGAAATCCAACGCAAGGGAAGGGAGGAGGAGCCACTGGTGGAGGCATGGCAACAAGCTGCAGACCCAAGGGCACCTGAAAAAGAACCTGGTGTACCTGCACCTGAAGGGGTTACCTGCACTGCACCTAAGGGGGTTACCTGAAGTGAGGGGGTCTGAGGCATGCAAATCGTGCTCAACCAGTGGCAGTGTTTCAAAGGGAAGGCGAATGCACAACCCGCAAAGGAACTGGCAGCAAGAAAGCAACAGTGTGAAAAAAACAAGAGTGATTCAGTATGAGCAGTGAGCAGCAGGCAAGAGCGAGTCCAGGGAGGTGAGAGCACTTAGCTGGCAGCTGAAGAGCCGCCGAGAGATGCTGCCTCGTGTCCCCTTCCCTCCCTCCCCTCCCCTACTGCTTCCGCGCCCCCTGCTGCTGACGCTGCCACAGCAGGTCCTTTCAGCTGTCTCTGTTGCATTGCGAGTGACCTGGACGGGGAGAGAACGGAAGGGAAGGTCAAGTGGGGAGTGAGTGCAGGCCTGACACAGGCACGGGCGATTCAAAGGGATGAGCGCATGAGGGCAAGTTAGCAGAAAACGAGTGCAGCGGGAAAGAGAGGTACGAGGCTTACCTTGAGAGGCCAAGCCCATCCCGATACTCTCCCTTGCTGCAGTGGGATTGCCATGCTGCAGTGCTGCCTCCCTCCCGTCCCCACGAGTCCCTGCACGGCCACAGGGGAGGGGCGTGGGGAAGCGTCGGTGTTGACCCCAGCGCCCCTCATCTCCACCTGCAACGCACACACACGGCGGTGGTCAGTATGCATGGCATGGGCACAACACAAGGCAGAGACCGGAAACTGCCAAATGTGGAAGAGAAAGGGAGGGCCACTGGTTGAGGCCAGGCCACACGGCACAGACGCCAAGGGAACCTGCACCTGAAGGGGGGACCTGCACCTGAGAGGGTTACCTGCACCTGAGGAGATACCTGAAGAGAGGGGAGGGGGTATGAGGCATGTAAACCTAGCTCAACCAGTGGCATTGTTTCAAAGGGAAGGGCGAAAGCACAACCGGCGAAGGAACTTGCACCAAGAAAGCAACAAGCCATGATGTGGCGGGCAAGGGTGAGGGCATGGAAGTGGGTGACTTAGCTGATAGCGTGAGGGAGAGCTCAAGACAGCTGCAGCACCACCAGCTGCCTCCCTCCGCAGCAGCCCTCCTCCAGGTGCCTCCTCCCTGCACGGCCACAGGGGAGGGGCGTGAGGGAGCGTCGGTGTTGACCCCACACCCCTCCCCGCCACCTGCAACGCGCACACACAGAGCTAGTCAGAGCGCGGTGGTGGGAGTGGGAGCAAGTTGAATGGGAAACTATGACTAAAAATCCAGCGCAAGGGAAGGGAGGAGGAGCCACTGGTGGAGGCACGGCCACAAGCTGCAGACCCAAGGGCACCTGAAAAAAAACCTGAGGGGTGTACCTGCACCTGAAGGGGTTACCTGCACCTGAGAGGTTTACCTGAACTTGAGGGGTCTGTAGCATGTGAGCAGTACTCAACCAGTGGCGTTGTTTCAAGAAGACGGTGCAACAGCAGATGAAACGAAAGAAACAGTATGGCAGGCAAGGTGCGGGCATGAGGGAACGGGTACTTAGCTGATTGTGTGGTGCAGGCGGAGGGGGTGCTTCAATGGAGAGTGGGCAGGGCGAGCAGGGACGGACCTGCGAGGCAGAAGAGAAGGGAGAGAGATATATGAAGTTACTACGAGGCAGGTGGGAGGGAGCGGCTCTTTTAAACGAGAAGACAGGCAGCAGTGTGAGTGCAAAATGACGGTGCATGTGACGCCAACCACAACCCCACAAGAGCCGCTACCAACCTGAACCTGCACCTGAACCTGAACCTGAGGGGGAGTGGGCTCGAGTGGAGTGTGGTGGCAGGGGCGATACTGCAACCTCAACCGTTGATGAGGCCGGCGCTGCTGCCCCGCTGCCCGCGCTCCTGCTGCCCGCCCTGGTGCTCCCGTCGCCTGCTGCTCGCCTGCTTCCGTCCTCCTGGCTTGCGCTGGCCTGGCAGGCAGGGAGGGCAGCGAGGGGAGCGGCGTGAGGATGAGGTGAAGGCAGCGGGGGAGGTGGGAGCGAGATGGGGATTGGAGAGTGGATATGAGGGGATATGAGTCTCACCTTATTTCAGACGACCCAATCCCAATACTCTCCCTTCCCACCCTAGCCGAGTGGAGTGCTGCTCCCCTTCCCTCCCACCGCTGCCACCTGCACAGCCACAGGGGAGGAGTGTAGGGGAGTGGCGGTGTTGACCCCACGCCCCTCCCCTCAACCGGCAAGGAGAGAACTGAAGAGAACTGAGAAAGCGGCTAGGGGTAAGATGGTTGGGGTGGGATGGCAGGTGAGAGCAAAAAAGGGGCCACTGGTGCAGCCTCAACTACAAGCCACAGACCCAAGGGGAGTACACACCTAGGGAGGCTTACCTGCAGACCTGAGAGAATACCTGCAGTACCTGGGGGAAATTACCCAAGAAAAAGGGGTCTGTGGCTTGAAGTTTCGGCTCAACCAGAGGCTTGCGTTTGAATGCACAAGCGACAGAGATGCAGCAAGGACTGAAGTGGAACGACAATGAACACAAGAGGCAGGGCGGGTACTAAGCTGCGTGTGGGTTGGGTGGAGAGCAGCTGATGCCTGTGCCGCCACTGCTACTGGCGTGTGAGTGAGTTGCTGGAATGAGAGCGGGCAAATTGGGACAGAAAGAGGAAGGGGGGAGGATGGAGAGAGGATGGAGGTGTGATAAGGGAGAGAAGGAGGGTGATGAGTTAAGAGGCGAAGACAAGTGCGTGAAGTGAGAGCGAACGAGTGCAAGAGTGAAGCGTGGATGAATTGACTGCTGCAAAGGCACACCCAGGAGACCTCGTACCGGCAGAACCACACATAAGCAAATACCTGAGGCTGTACCAAAAGTTTTAACCTGATACCTTGGGGGAGGGAGGTCTCTTAAGTGTGACAGAGAGCAGTAACGAATGGCGTGCAAGACATGGAAAGCAGCACAAGTGCGAGGGTTAAGAGAAGATAGGTGGAGCAGGGTACTTAGCTTAGCTGTGGTTGGGTTGGGTGGAAAGCAGGTGCTGCGTGTGCACTCCATGTCCCCTGCCACTGCCACTGCCACCTCCGTGTGAGCGACCTGGAGGGACGAGAGGGGTCAGCTAGGGGCAGATACAGGAAAGGTGGAGGGGGAGGAGAGGACGGGGGTGAGAAATGGGAGCAGAGAACAAAGGAGGGCAATGAGGAACGAAGGCATGGGTGGAATAAGGTGAGACAAAGCGTGCGGCAAGTGCAACAATGGCGCGTGCATGAATGCTCTGCTGCAGTGGCACACCCAAGAGACCTCGTACCAGCTGAATAAGACAAAAAAGCATACCTGAGGCTGTACCAAAGTTTTGAACCTGTTACCTTGGGTGAGGGAGGTCTCTTGCATGTGGCACAAAATCAAGCATGAAATGCAGAGAGAAGCGAGGAGCAGAGGGGCAGGGCGGGGCACTTAACTGTGGCGAGGCGAGGGTGAGAAGGCACGGCTGCTGCTGCCCCTCTGCTCCATGTCGCCCCCCTGCTGCTGCTCCCTGCCTCCTGGTGGGAGGGGGGCGACACACAGAGCGAGTGGCAATCAAGGGGCGAAGAAGGGGTTATTACCGTACAAACTCAGAGTAGGGTTAGAGGACGACCAAGTGATGAGTGAGAGAAATGGTGGAAAATTTGTATTGGCAGCAGCACGAGAGGAAAGTTTTGATGGCAGCAGACTCACCAAAGGGACGCACCACATGATGACGCACCACATGATGACGCACAACACCTCACCACACCACAACTCAACTCGCGAATGAAAAACGAGAGCAGAAAACGGCGCCAGTGGTGCAAGTTACAAGAGGAGGGAAGCGCGGGGAGTACCTTGCGTGGTCATGGGGGGAGCGCGGACATCCAGCAGCGCGTGGCAGAGCAGGATGACGCGCGCTCGATCACGCTTGAACATGGCTGACGGCTTGCCATGCTCGATTTCCTCCAATGATTGCTCAGCATGGTGCGCCTGCCAAGTGAGACGACACAGCGAGTCAGGGATGCTGGGAAACGAAAATCGCGATTTCAAAAAATAACCGAAGAAAAAAACAAGCTCAAAAACTTACCTTGAGATGCTTACGGAAGAAGCAAATGACGAGCCTAACGGAAAGCGAAGTCGCGAAGGTTCACGTCGAAGAGCGAGAATTGGCGGGCTGGAATGTCGGACGACTTGGAATGGTTGTGTGCTCGCCTGCGCGTTGCGAGAGACACGATGATTAGTTACTTCACAGCGAATCGCGAAGCTGAGTAATCAGTAAACAAACTACCCGATTCGATGCTCAATTTACCAGAATTGAGACTTCGACGCGAAACAGCGGAGGTCGACGGCGAACAGCGAAATTCGACGTCGAAGCTCAAGCTTCCTCGTGAAATCCCACAAGTCGACGCTCAACGGTGAAAGGTCACGTCCAATAGCGAAAATCGACGCCGATAACAGAAATTTCCTCGCGAAATTCCAAGACTCAACGCTGAACGGCGAAGAGCGGCGTTAATAGCCAACTCTGGCAACTAACAGCGAAATCTGGTCTATTGCCAAGATCGCCGTGAAAACTCGACTGAACTCTCTGGAAAGCGACGAGAACGACGCCTTGATGGCACGGAAAATTGCGAACTGGGAAGCTAGAGTGAGGGAATGGCTTCAAAGCGCGAAGAAGGCAAACGGGAGTGAGGAAAAAACGAGTCGAAATGGTTGCTGGACGAAATGGCTGCTGGAGTGAGGTCCTCCCCTCGCCACAACATCGCGAAACTGGGGTGTCTGGGATGGTATACCTCAGCCGACGAAAACCGCCGCCCATTTTCGCGGTTGCGATAGGACAACGAACCCCCTCGAGATTGACGAGCTCCAGACGACTTGCGAGTGGCAAACTGGGGCGACATGGCAGTCCTCTGGGGCTCTGAACCCCTCGGGATTGTCGACTATCTGACGACCTCGGGTTTCGCTGAGAGAAACCCAAGAAGGATACCTCAGCGGACCCTGAACCACAGCTCGACACGTTGTGCGCCGAGCCGCGGTTACGGCCACGTGGCTTAGTAGGGACGGCCGAGATCGAGCCTGACAATCGGGAGGTGCCACGACGGCGCCGACGTGGCCCTGCTTCGCACCACCGGGTATATTTCGCTGCGTGCGAAACTTGGCGCGCCGACGAAAAATGTAACCATCGTCCACGCGGCGAAAGACGACTGGCATGTGTCCACCACGTAGATAGCCAGAGAACGCGGGGTATTGAGATGTCGGTGTCGCCCGAAGATCCAACCGCAGTAGCACGACCCACGCGGATGGTTCTGTGCGGACCAAACAATGCATAGGCGAAGAGAGCCCCAGAGTCAGGGAATGTCGGCGTCGACCAAGCCTCCGGCCACGCGCCTACTCGCAGGTCGATGAGGCTTGCGCGGGAGAGCAGGACGCTACGGCATTTCGGGAGAGTGGAACTAGGTGATTGGCCTATTGCACGTGGCGCACGTGAATTCCACCGTGGCAAGGCACCGGCGGGAGTGCCGTTGAGCGCAGAGCGGCGTGACACTAGACATGCATCGATCGTGACACGTCATGCACGTGCACAGCGGCGCTTGCAAAGAGGGCTGCGTGGAGCGCGGCAGGTGCGCAGTGGCTCGCAACCATACCCCTCCTTGACCACGCACAACGCTCTCATTCTGCCGGTTCAGCTTCATGTTTCTCTCATGCTCCTGTGCGCCATCTAGCACTTCGTTTTCTTCACAGGACCCTCGCTATCTCTGCGGGTGTAGGTTACTCGACGGCCGAGTCGACCGAGCGGCGGCACAAAGGCGACGGCCTGGAATAGACTGCCATAGGTCGGTGTTGGGGTCGACCATCGTCGACTTCGCCTTACTAGGTTCTAGGTCGTCATATAGGAAAGTCGGCGACGATAGATCAGGGCGACGATAGCATCTCCCAACCTTACCGAGTCGGCGACGCATGGCCAGAGGAAGGGCTAGTGCCCAACAGCCACAACAACTTATCCCACCCCCCCGCCGATTCGGTAGACGACGACATCAAAACGCAACTGGAACGACTCGAGGTCGACGCTGAGTTAGAAGCACTTGAGAGGGAATTCGAGGAAGACCGCCGCAGGACGATTAGGGCGTACACCGCACCCGTGAATCAGTACCATCTCTGGTTTACCAATCTTTCCCTCTTCCACGGCCGGCGGTAGAGCATACGAGCGGTCATGGACGACGTCGACATGCCCGACGTTGGTACCCCAACCGACCACAGTCCGTCCTCTGCCCCCGTAGAGACGCTGAAGTTGCTTTACGATCTTGACAAACTTACTCAGATTCCCGAAGGGGAGTACACCAAGGACATACCGAATCCGCCAATTGGGGAGTTTACGAAGAAGTCGACACCGACGGCAGATGGCAGACAGGACCTTCGTCGGTGCCCGCCGGCTCGGAAAACCAAGGTGATAACGACGAGGAGGACGAGGAAGAGAGCGACGACGAAGTCGACGACCGTCCTCCGCGTAGCACGAATCCGCGCACCTTGGAAGAAACGCCTTAGGCGGGAATTTGAATACATACGTGACATGCTCGAAGCGGACGAGAAGGAGGACGATCAGCACATGTCGGTGCCGCGCGAAGGGTGGAAGGCGACGGACTTTGTAGTGGACGACATGGTGTACTCCAGCATTGACGTGCTCATAATGGACGCCCTACGACACCTACAATGCTTGGAGAAGAATAGCACGCTCAGGCTGTACACCGCGTTCATCTACCACTACAAGAAGTGGGCGGCGAAGATGCTGAAGCAGCTACGCGACAAGCTACCCCATGAGCAACGACTTAGGCACGTCGACGAGATCGGCCACTACATCCGCGACAACAAGAAAGAGGATTGGTGCAACGAGAAAGTGGTCCGCCGACAGTACATCTGGCTGCACGGCCCTAGGGTCACCGAAACCCGGCTGCGCGCCTACGTGAAGCAAATGAGCCGTGAGTGTAACCTCATTGTTGACCAGCCCGGGGAGGAGAACAATGCCACGCGAACGGGGCCTGTGAGGTCGACAACTGTGCACACGATCCTCGGCCGGATAAAGGCATGCCAGATGGCGGCGAGGGTGGAGGCGACGCTGTAACCGAGAGAAGGAGCTGGGCCTCATGAGGGAGATCTCGGTGGTGAGATCGGAGGTGCGGTTCAACGTCCGCCACAAGAACGAGAGGGACCTCAAGTAAGTTGGTCGACAACCTTATTATATATCACTGTGCACTGTGAAGTCGACGCAGTCTAACAGATTTTCCCCGCCGATTTGCGTTCAGGAACTGCGCCGATCGTCGACGCGGCACCATCGGCGATACCTACACCGCCGAGCAGTTCCGCCAGATCATGATGAGGGTGCTGCCGACATGGGCGGCGGCGGCGTGGAACCCGCGGGCTACCACTACCGTCGCAGACGCTGTGGCGATTCCTGCTCATCAAGGTGCTCACGCTACTCTCCCACCACACTCTCCTGCGCGGCGGCAGCATCCGCGAGATCCACGCTCCCCGACATCTTCTTGTACCACCTGGCGAGCACCTCGGAGGTGAACCCGGATAGCCAGCCGGTCGTCATGGTGATCGCCGCGCGTAACTCGAAGACTTCCAAGGATGCCCGTCTTCAGCAGAGCTACGCTGCGCGACCACCTGGAGCGGAGCTGTGCGCCGTCGGCGAGACCGGCCTGTGGCTGCACTTCATCCTCGACCAGATCGTCAGTTCTCCGGCACCGACTTTCTTTCGCCGCTTGACATCACAGAACGCGAACGCTGGTACAAGAAGCATCTCTTCTTCGCCAGAAACGACAAGGAGCAGGAGGAGCTCTCCGCCGCCACCCACCAACGTTGGACTCGGCAGGTGTGGAACGACCAACAAGGTGTTCTGCAAAAGGAACGTGCACGCCGCCCGCGCCGGAGGTGCGCAGGAGTTAGCCATCGGAGGGACGCCGCGCGCCGAGATCGCCGAGCTGGGACACTGGGCTCTCGACAAGATGACGCGTGCGTACATCACGGCCATACCCGTTGGGGTGGTGATGCGGAAGGCCGGCTACTCGGGACTCAAGCAAGACTACTTCTTGGGGCGCAGCAGGGTCGAGCCCTCCGACAAACTCCTGGACCTCCTCGCCGAGCACATCTTCCCCGGCGTGGATTGCTATGCTGCGCGATGTATGTCACGCGACGCCGACAATGTTTTTTCAGTCGTCGTGGCCTAGTTGGCTGCCCAACTCCCTACTAACCCACGCCACTTTCCGACTTGCAGGCGGAGACGCGTGCCGTCAACGGGAGCGACGCCGCTGCAGCCGCAGTGCACTTCTTGCGCACCCTCGTGATGTTCCGACGAATCGTCGCCGAGGACCTCGCGGGTGAAGCTGCGTCCGCACACCGTGGGCACCCGTCACGTCCAAGGTTCCAAGCTCTGGCAGGATTGCCCTCTTCCAGCACTGGGAGGAAAAGGGTCGAGTCGATCGACACCGATACGATCAAAAAGCGCCGGGACCCGACTCACATACAACCGGAGGTGAGTTTGCCGACCACGTCCGGCGTCGTTGAATTTTTAGCCGGTGAATTCTAACCTCTTGTCGCCTTTCCGCACACCCAACATTGCAGGAAATATTCGTGCGCATGGACACCCAGTATCACAACATGTTTCCTCAAGGAGGCACTGAAGAAAGGAGGTCGAGCGCTCGGCGCTCGAGAAGCTAGGCCTTCAGGAGACGATCGAGAAGCAAAACGACACCATCGCGTCGCTCACCTCCGAGCTTGCTCGACTCACCGAGGCACTCCGTGTGTCAGAAGCCCGGAGGATGCCGGCGGCGCCGCCGTCGGCGACCGATCAAACTCCGGGCGAGGGTGGCTCCGCGGATTCGGCCAACACGGGGACCGGAGCCAAGAAAGATGATGGGAAACCCCCGCCACCCCCCCAGACGGCAGAGGAGCCAGTTACGAGCTCAACGTGGTGCAACCTTGGCGGGATTCAAAGACCGTGCGGGACGCTTGGCGCCTCTGGAACTCCGCCACCCGCCAATGACACCCGTCGTCTTTGCGACAGGGTCGCCGAGCCGGGGTTCATCGACCGCCACACCCTCCTCAAGGCGCGACCCAGGGTGCACTCAACATGAGGGTGCGCCGCATGCTGAAAGGCCATGGATGCGGTGCGCCAGCTACGCGCGAGCGACGGCGATGCCGACACCGAAGCCGTGGTCGATGCACTGAACACGATCGCTGGCACCTGGGCATTGGGACCTTCTGCGATGCCCTCACGGTGCTCAACCCGGAGACGGCAACCGGACGATGTCCAAGGAGCCTGGCATGGGCGTCAAGGGGCTTGGCCCCAAGGTGGTCTCGAAGCTACGCCTCGCCTGTGCGCTGGTGGCGCTCGAGCTGAAGCCGACGACGTGGGTCGACCGCCTGTTTCCAGACACCTGGGAGGAGCAGATGCCGAAGACCGTGGCCGACTTGGCCAAGCAGACCGCACCTGCGCAGCGTCCTCCGTCAAAGCGCAAGAAGTCGGCATGAAGATCCTCGGTGTATATGTGTTAGCGTAGGTTGATGATGCCCTAATATAGAAAACCGTAGTGTTCCCATCGTACTTGTTGATTTTGATGCAACACGAACATACATGATCCAACACATAAATCCGAACCAGATATGTCGGACATCCGACATAGTCCGCCACCATGTGTGTGCAATTCATTGTGCCTTATTCATGTCGACATCGCTGACTTGCATGCAAACGGCGCAAACGGCGCCGATCACGCTATAACCGAGCAATCATACCACCTAGCGCTCCTTTCGCGCGCCGACTACGCATCCGTGCTGTCCAT